ACGCAGCGCGCAAGCTCGTCCGCCTGCGCCGCAAGAACCGCTGGGCAGACAAGGGCTGGAAGAAGTCCCACACCTTTGTGGCACAGAAGGCCAACCCCTTTGGTGGCTCCTCCCACGCGAAGGGCATCGTGCTGGAGAAGATTGGTGTTGGAGCGAAGCAGCCTAACTCCGCCATTCGTAAGTGCGTTCGCGTGCAGCTGATCAAGAACGACAAGAAGATTATTGCCTTTGTGCCGAATGACGGTTGCCTGCACTTCATTGAGGAGAACGACGAGGTGCTGGTGTCTGGATTTGGCCGTTCTGGCCACGCCGTCGGTGATATTCCCGGAGTGCGTTTCAAGATCGTGAAGGTCTCGAACGTCGGTCTTTATGCCCTCTACCGCCAAAAGAAGGAGAAGCCTCGCAGCTAGAGTGCGGTGCGCCCCCGTGAGCCATAGCTGCCCCAACAGCAGCTGTAGCAGCATATCCTTGGCGAATAGGCAATGTCCTTCAACAGGTTTCACCACTTTTTTTTTCTTTTTGTTTGACTTTGTTTTATTTCAATTTGCTTTTCAAAGCAACAAATAAGGAAAAAAATGTTTCTGGACATTGGGGGGGGGGAGAGATGTGGCAGCTTCCTCCTGCTTCCGTCGCTTTGGTGGCGGGTGGGCGGTCTGGCTGCTGGTGGGTGCGCGCTTCCCCCCGCATCCTCGTTGGGCAGACCTCATACGTGAGGAGGAGTCTTAGTAAAAGCATAGCAGCTTGTTTTTTCTTTTTTTTCTCTTTTTTTTTTTTGTGGAGTGGATATTTTCTGCCCGTGCTGGGGCGAGGGTAGTAAGAGACGAGGAAAGTGACGTCTGTGTAGGGCGGGGAGCGAGAGTGACAAGTTCTTTAATTAAGGAGGGCATTGAACTGTTGCTCTTTGTGTGCGTGTGCGTGAATTGGCGGGGGCGTGCATATACGAGGCGGTGGTGGGAGCAGAATAAGGTGACAGTAGGAAGAGAAAAGGAGCATATTAGGAGGGAGGAGCTACAAAAAAAAAAAAAGCTGACGAGGGACTAACATTTACAGCCGCAGCGACAGAGAGGAAGGTATTTAGCACAGTTATTCATTCAATGGGCACTCGCTACGAGCGACAGGAGAAGATTGGTGAGGGGACGTATGGTGTCGTGTTCAGGGCCCGTGACACCGCCACCGGTGCCACCGTCGCGCTGAAGCGGATTCGTCTTGACACGGAGGAGGAGGGTGTGCCGTGCACTGCCATCCGAGAGATCTCGCTACTAAAAGAGCTTCGTCATCCGAACATTGTAAAGCTGCTTGACGTGTGCCATAGTGAGAACCGTCTCACCCTCGTGTTTGAGTACATGGAGCTTGATCTGAAGAAGTACATGGATCGGGAGGAAGGGAACCTGGATGCGGCCACCATTCAGGACTTTATGCGGGACCTGCTGAATGGCGTGCACTTTTGCCACGATCGAAACGTTCTGCACCGGGACCTCAAGCCGCCGAACTTGCTCATCTCGCGTGAGAAGAATGTGAAGCTGGCGGACTTTGGCCTGGGGCGGGCGTTTGGCATTCCCGTTAAGAAGTTTACGCATGAGGTGGTGACGCTCTGGTACCGCTCCCCGGATGTACTGCTTGGCTCCACACAGTATGGCACGCCTGTAGACATATGGTCCGTCGGGTGTATCTTTGCGGAAATGGCCATTGGCGCCCCACTATTCGCTGGAAAAAATGACGCAGATCAGTTGCTGCGCATTTTTCGTTTTCTGGGAACGCCGAACAACCAGGTGTGGCCTTCCATGAACCAGTACCCCAACTCCACCAACATGTTGTCGAAGCCCGAGTTCCTGCAGAACCTCGCAGCGGAGTGCGACGTTCAGTTTCGCACCGTGCCCGCGTACGCGAAGCTGGGCCCGGAGGGTATTGATCTCCTTCGGCGCCTGCTGAAGTACGAGCCCAGCGAACGCCTAACAGCTGCTCAGGCGCTTGAGCACCCATACTTCTCCTTGGAGTTTTGAGCCGCCGTGGAGGGGTGAGACTGTTGTCGAGACGAGAGAAAATGCAGGTGGGAGAGACGCAGGCAGAAGCTTGAGTCACAAACGAGGTAACGACGAAAGAAAAACAAAAAGCAAACAAAAGAAAAGGCGAAGCTAAAACGTTAATTTGCAAAAAAAAAAACAAGGAAAAAACAAGAAACAAACAAAAAATTCCTCTTTGCTTGCACGACAGCTGTGGATGGATGCAGAGCACATCTCTTTCCCTATCTCATCACACGACTGGGCGGCGACCGTTAAGAGTTTTTTTTTTTTTTTGATTGTGTCTGTCGCTGGTTATGTGCGTGAGTTAGGAGACGATCTTTTCTTCAGTTGGTTTTATTGTTTATGTACATGTACACATCCATGCATGCATATGCGCAAATTTACAGACTATACACCGTGTGGCTGCATTTGTGGCTCGCTACACTGGTGCAGTGTGGTGTGTGTTCTACAGCCTTTGTCGGGGGCGACGAGAAACGGCCAGAGAAGGGATCGGGAGAGGCATGAGGGGAGTGGATGTTATGCCTATCTTTGTTGTTGTTGTTGTTGTATTTTGTTTGCGTTTTTCTCTCCCTTTTGATTGTTGCTGTGTCCGCGCAGATTTGGTTCTGCTTGCGCATTTACAAGTAAACACAGAGCACCACGGACGCACTGACGGTCAGGGAGGACGTAAACGAAACAACAGCGACAAGGGCGAGCAAACAGGGATATTAACATTGAAGGGGGCGAGAGGGGGACATCATGCAAGTGGCGAAGAAGGGAAACGAAAACAAGAAGGACACCAACACCCAGACGGATGTGCGCCTCAGCAATATCACGTCGGCAAAGGCGGTGGCGGACTGCGTGCGCACTTCCCTCGGCCCGCGTGGCATGGACAAAATGATTGTGGAGCCACGTGGCGAGGTGCTCATCAGCAACGATGGCGCCACCATCCTGTCGAAGCTGCAGGTGACGCACCCCTGTGCCAAGATGTTGGTGGAGCTCTCCAAGGCGCAGGACGTGGAGGCGGGGGACGGTACGACAAGCGTCGTGGTGCTCTGCGGCGCCTTTCTCCGCGCTGTGGAGGAGCTTCTGATGAAGGGTATTCACCCCACACAGATTTCAGAGTGCTTCAATGAGTGTGCCAAGATGGCGGAGAAGATTCTCGAGGACATGAGCGTCAAAATTAAAATTGAGGATCGTGAAACGCTTATCAAGGCGGCGATCACCTCACTGAACTCTAAGGTTATCTCGCAAAACAGCGACTTGCTAGCGCCCATGGCTGTGGATGCTGTGCGGCGGATTATGCGTGACAACGGTGATGTGGATCTGCGTGATGTGCGTATTGTCACTGCGCTTGGCGGTACCATAGACGACTCTGTGCTGCTCACCAACGGCATGGTGTTCAAGCAGAAGGCGTCACACGTAGCTGGAGGCCCGGTGCGCATTGCAAACGCGACAATAGCTCTCATTCAGTTTCAGCTGTCGCCCCCCAAGACTGATATGGAGAGCACTGTGACAATTAACGACTACAGTCAGATGGACAGGGCGCTGAAGGAGGAGCGCAAGTACCTGCTGAATCTCTGCAAAAAGATTAAAGACGCTGGGGTGAATGTGCTGCTTGTGCAGAAGTCCATCCTACGCGACGCGGTGACGCTGCAGAGTCTGGACTTCCTCGCCAAGATGAAAATCATGGTGGTAAAGGACATTGAGCGCAACGACATTGACTTTGTTACAAAGACGCTTGGATGCCTTCCCGTGGCAAACATAGAGAACCTGAAGCCGGAGAAATTTGGTCACGCCGACCTTGTCATGGAGGAAAATACACCCAACGGTAAAATCATTCGCATCACGGGGGTGCAAACGCCGACAAATACGGTTGGCCGTCAACTGTTTGGCAAGACAGTCACATTTTTCCTCCGTGGCAGCAACAACATGATCCTGGAGGAGGGGGAGCGGGCCTTGCATGACTCGCTTTGCGTCATTCGCTCCATTGTGAAGAGGCAGGCCGTTATTCCTGGTGGTGCTGCTGGTGAGACGGAGGTCTGCCTACAGCTCAGCAAGTATGCCCGGGAGCGGGCACAGGGTACTCAGACCTTTTGCATGCGCGCCTTTGCGGATGCCTTTGAGGTTATTCCATACACGCTTGCCGAGAATGCCGGGCTGCAGCCGATTTCCATTGTCACTGAGCTTCGTAATGCGCATGCGCGGGGTAACAATAACGCTGGCGTGAATGTGCGCAAAGGCTGTGTGACGGACATGGTGGAGGAGAATGTTGTGCAGCCACTACTCGTCTCTACCTCTTGTGTGCGTCTGGCGGCGGAGTGTGTGATGATGATCCTGAAGATTGACGACATCATCATGACCCGCGCGTAATTTTTAAGCGCGTGTGTGAGTGCGTCATGGTGTTTCTGTGTTCATGGGCCAGAAGCGTTGCCTGGGGGCCTGGAAGGAAGAGAAGAGTAACGGGAGGCGGCTGGGAGAAAGCAAGCAAAGAAGCAAGGGAAGAAGAAGAAAAAAAAAAATGAAGGAAGTAACAACAAAGATGGAGGAGGAAGAAGAAATATGAGGAACGAAAAGCAAACAAAAAAACAAGGAAGAAAAAATATATATGAGGTGAATGAATGCATGAACGGCGTCAGCCGGTTCTACAGCAGCACGGACACACAATGAAGGAGGAGGAAAAAAAAAAGGTGTTGGAGGGGGGGAGGAAGCGAAGGAATTACGGGGATCGAAGGAAGGAGTGGTGGCTGTCTTGAGCGGAAGCCGCTCACCTGCGCGCCCTCCGTTCCTCCCTCTCTCTGCTAAGCAGTAAAGCGCAGCCATATATATCATGACCTTTTATGTTCACGTAAAGATGCACACACGGACACAAACGCAGGTGTGTTTTGTCCGCCTCCATGTTGTCACGCCCTGCGTGCCTGTTTGGGTTGACCGTTGCCACTCCATTTACTGCCCTTATTCCCTCTTTATTATTCATTTATCATTATCTTCACCGCGTTGTGGGGGGTGGGGGTGGCCGTGGATTGTGTTGGCGCAAGGAGGCAAATATTGAGTAAGAGAAAAACTGGAAATCAGCGTCGCGAGGAAGACCAAACCTGTAACAACAACAAAAAAGGAAAAGAACCGATATCTCTTTGGAATGTCACACTTTGCGCGTTGTTTACTTGTTGCTCTTCTGGTCGCTGCCATGCTGACAACAGCAGTGGTGGATGCCCTGTACGCCGCGCCCATTGGACGACTGCGTGAGAAAGGCACCGGCTGGCGTCCTTGCGACCCGAACGTGCAGCAGTGGAGCGGCTATCTTGACATCCCCGGCCAGAATGGAGACAAACACTACTTTTACTGGGCATTTGGGCCGCGCAACAAAAACCCAGACGCCCCTGTGCTTCTATGGATGACAGGAGGGCCGGGTTGCAGCTCCATGTTGGCGCTGCTTGTGGAGAATGGGCCGTGCTGGGTGAATGAGACCACAGGGGATCTCTACAACAACACGTACTCATGGAACAATGAGGCGTATGTGATTTACGTTGATCAGCCTGCGGGCGTGGGATTCTCCTACGCACAAAAGACCGACTACGACACAAATGAGATGGAGGTTTCAGAGGACATGTATCATTTTATTCAGGCTTTCTTCACAGCCCACAAGGAACTCCAGAATAATGAATTTTTTGTTGTGGGTGAAAGCTATGGCGGACACTACGCCCCTGCGACGGCATACCGCATCAACAAAGGCAACCGCAACCATGAAGGTCTTCCCATCCGTCTTGCTGGCCTCGCTATTGGCAACGGCCTCACAGACCCATACACACAGTACGCCGCCTACCCGGATCTGGTGTGGAACTGGTGCCAGAAAGTCCTTGGAAGGCCTTGCGTCTCTGAAAGCGCCTACGAACTGATGAAAAGTATGGTGCCGACGTGCCAAAAGGTTATTGAACTATGTAACTCCGGTACCGATGCGCTTGCGAATACGTCCTGCACCACTGGACGTTTTGTGTGCAATCCAATCGTTGCGGTATACAGCATCACGGGGCGCAACAGCTATGACATCCGCAAAACATGCGTTGGAAGCCTTTGCTACAACTTCGACGCCGTGGAGAAGTTCCTGAACAGGGAGGATGTTCAGAAGTCGCTTGGGGTGGATAGCCTTAAGTGGCAGTCGTGCAATATGGGCGTCAACATCATGTTTGCGGTTGATTGGTTCAAGAACTTCAACTACACTGTGCCGGTGCTTCTGGAAGATGGCATTCGCGTGATGGTTTACGCGGGCGACATGGATTTTATCTGCAACTGGATTGGAAACAAAAACTGGACAACAACACTGCTCTGGCCTGGCAAAGAGGCGTTCAACGCAGCTACCGACAAACCCTTTTCGGCCTCTGATGGCTCTGCAGCGGGACTCGTTCGCAGCGCCGCCGCGGCATCGACGGCGTCCTTAAGCTTCGTTCAGGTATACAATGCGGGGCACATGGTGCCGATGGATCAGCCAGCTGCTGCCTCAGTGATGATCAACAAGTTCATGCAGAACAAACCACTTAATTGAGGTGGCCTTCGCGCGTCTGCATGAAAGTGTTCTTCAGCAACGGAACGAGCCAAGAGGAGTAGCGAAAACGCGAGCGGTAGCACTTCGAGCGAGTGGGAAAAGATGAAAGCAAAAAAAAAAATGAGCATTATAAGCGTCATAGGAATGTAGTCATGTAAAGGATCTTTCCCCACTCCTCTCCCACCCACCCCTTTCTTTCCTTTTTTCTATTTCGTTTTTAATCTTCTGCCAAGCACACGAGCGGAATTCACGACGATGCAGATGTCACCGGCAGTGGAAGCAAGCAACGCGAGAGAGAAAAGCGAAGCGCTCAACAAAACAACACAACAAAGATATATATTATATTATATGAAACAAATAAAGCAGGACAAATAGTGGCAGACGGCATCGACATGCCGTGTGGCATCCAACATTCAAACTTTGAGGAATTGTGTCTGCACAGAAGAATTGTTTTTTTTTATTTTACTTTTGCCTTTGCCTGCGTGTTTTCTGGTGCCGTAAGTCTCCAGCGCCGCGAAGCACCTCCTCCACCTACGGGGATGTGCAGGCAGCCCCCACCCGTAGAAAGAATGAACGGTGGGAGGGGGGTGGACGGCACCGCAGCAGGAGACACCAATAAAAATTTGCACAGGCCACCCGGTCGAATTTCTCACCCGCATTAAATTTTGTTTTTCTGGAAAATTATTGCAGCAGTGCAGCCGCTTTGACTACCTCCATAAAATGTTATCATTGTTTACACTGATCGACGTTACCGCGACTGTTTCTCCCTTTTCCACCTTCTGTTTATAAAGCTCGTTGGATAGGAGAGTGCGCAACAGCCCGTGACGAGCGAGCACTCGATGCAGTTATCCCTGGCTGACCCCGCCCCCCGGCACCGCTGCGACGTATGATGCAGATGCTTCTGTGCGCCTGACACCTCTAGTCTGAGCTGTGCCGTGATTTTAGCACACGATCATGTTATCCCTGGCTGACTCGCGGCGCCCTGTGTCCTCCCCATCCCGCCTTTCCACGTGCAGGAAGGCCCACCCGCTTGCCTGCGGCGATGATGCTTGAGAAGTTTCACTCTTGTCAGAGTCCAAAACCGGTGACGACGCTTGTCTACACGACGCACGACGCTGATGCCCTGCGCCCCACCCCTCGCCCCCTCCCCCGTCCACACTAGCGGCCCGTTCCTCCTCCTCACCCTCCTCCTCGCTCGTGGCGTCGCCGCCGCCCGCGCCAACGCGACGCGTGATGAACCCGAGGTAAGAGCCGTCTTACCCCCGAAACGGATGAAACAACACACGCCTTGCGGGGGATACGGCGCAACGCTGCGCCTCCG